ATTTGTTTAAAAAATATTATGTTTTATATTTATATAATATTTTATCATTCTTTTATAAAAAGTATTCTTGGACAAAATTATATTCGAAACATAAAAGAATATGCTCTTTGAGGGTGAATTTCATCCTTTCAAAGAGATTTTTCGCCGAAAAAAATTGCTTCATGTATAACATGGATATATGGATACGAATTTTTATTAAAATCAAGAAATTTTGTTAGAAGAATTTCCCAATAAGATATTATCTAAATATTTTCCTAAAGTATTATATATTCTTATAGTAAACATATCGATCTAAACACTTCATTATCAGGTTTAGAAATTAAACAAATGAAAAAATTTTTGTGTACAAAAATGAAAAAAGCTTAATTATTTAAATTATATGCAATTTAAATTCGTTAAATAAAATAAAAGAGAAGTAAAATGATGGTGAAATAGAACTATCTCGTCTAATGCAAATTTTAATTGTTTATAACTTAATAAATAAACCACAATAACAACATTTTTGTATATAAACTTTTGTACTTTTTTTTATGATCTTTAGAATCAATTTTTGAGATTATTCCACAAATATAATATCTTGTATATATATTAAGAAAGAAAAAAAAAGATTGAAAATATGAGCGAAAAAATAGCTAGAAAATGTCTGTAGAAAGAATCTTTTTAAACAATCAAAAAATGTAAATATGTAAATTACGGTAATAGAACATAATTAAGTTTGATTGGGTTCTTTTTACAATACTTATGATTAATTTCAATGTTATTTTATATTTACAAAGTATATTACAAAGCATTCAAGATAATTATCTAATATAATAATAATTATATAATATAATATAATAAATATAACATAATTATAATAATTAATGTCGTATTTTATAATTTTCTAATTTCGTGAAGATATAATATTTTCCTTCAATTAATCTTATTTTAATGATAAAATAAAGTTTTATTTTTAAAAATTCTGATGATATTATTGATAAATCATTAAACTTAAACATTTAAGATTTATTTTTTTTTTAATTCTTTATTACATTAAAGTTATTAAATTCAAAATTTCTTGAAATGTATTTATATTTTATGTTTAATTTAAATATGCAATTTAAATTTAATTCTGGTACTTCGATAGTATTCTAATTTAATAATATTGATATTATTAAAAATTTTTTGTCTATAAAATACTATAAAATACTAACCAATAATATTAAAATACAACAGATTTATTAATTGATAACAATAAATTTGTTATTTTTTTATTTTTATATTTAAAATTTATTTTTAATTATATCAATTCAAATAGTTTAATTATAATTTTTTTGTGTTTAGAATAATTTACGTATAGAAAACAGATAGAAAATAGAACTGAATTAAATTGTGCATTAATTCATTGAAATCCAGCGCTCAATTTTAATTTTCTATATGTCAATTCCTATTAGCTAAATCAATAAGAACTAAAGAGGATAACTAATGAACCTTCATTATTAGAGTTATTTGACTATATTAATTACTCGTCCTCCATTATGCTCGAATAGAACAATGCAGTTATAAGTATCTTCTAAAGTATCTTGCAATATGTGTGCAAGTGCTTAAATCAAACGCTTCTTGAAAAAAATAGTACATGAAATAATATAATTAAATAATAATATCATTTTTATTTATCTTGTTATCTAATTTTGTTATTTTGTTATCTATTTTTAAAAGTAAACTTTGATAGTGCTAAGCATGATTCAAAATTAAAAATTATTAAATCATTTCTAGAGGTTTAATAAAAATTGAATAATTATAGTATTAAGAATTCAAAAATTCTTGTCTGTATATTAATGATTTTATCATTTATAAAATTATATATATTTTATTTATACATATATAAAGTATTTTAATAAAAACTCAATTTTTCTGAAAATTATATTATTCTAGTTTTCTAAAATAATATTGATTTATTTCTAAAATATATAAATAAATATATATCAAGATAATTATATTATAGAATAAAAAACTTTTATGGAGAATAAATAAATAACTTATAATTTATTAATATTGTTAAAATCTCATATTATATTTAACAAGAAGACACATAAATTATTAAAAATTTATAAGAAAATTAAATATCTATATAAACGAACGATAAACAAGAATTATTTCTCAAATCTTAACTATCAAAATTGTACATTAATAAAAAGAACTTCTACAAAAACTCAATATCATTAGATCAACTTATAGATACAATGAGATGCATTGACTCAAGCGATGGATTTAAATTAATTGTTCACGCAACAAAATGATGTATTGATGTATAAGCATCATATGAACTATTCACTTAAATCCATCGCTTAAATTTATTGCAACATTTGTAAACCGCTTTAGAATATAACAATCGTCTTTTCGCAAAAATAATAGTAAATTGTGTTTTATAAACGTTTCAATTAAGAAGATATTCGTGTTTTCATGGATAATTGATAGAAAAAAAATTCAATCAAGGAATCAGTGATAGAAAAGAATCGAATAGCTGAAAGAACGAAAGACCAATTGTCAGATACTACTTGCATCCAATGGCAGTGAAGCGTATCTCACGCGAAGCGCCAGTGAATCCAGAGTTATAGCAAACGGTGACGGTTAATCGCCCTAGGATTTATGTACCAGGAAGATACTAGTGCTGGTGCGGATCTACCCATTTATATCCATCCGGCTACAGTGGGAAATTCGATTAAATTCACGGTTTGAAAGTCTGCTTACGTATCTTAATACTTGGACGTTCCGTTGAAATCGAAGATAAATTTATGAACCTTTTCTGACTATCTTGCAAATATATATATATAAGTATATCGCAACTAGTAAGTTTTATCAATCAATTCATTGGAAACTTGAATTCGAAATTACATTATACGATGTAAATGTGCGTACAATGTATTAGAATCTTAGAGGAAAATTTAAAATCTTTGAGTTATGAGAGAATTTGTTTTACTTCGAAGTTTTTGAATAAAGAATGAAAATTCGATATGCAGAGACTTTGTGCAAGAGTTAATTTTTTTTATTCAATTAAGGGAAGATTCTAAAAAAAAAAAAATTGTTTTTCGAGATGATTTTAATAATTACAAAAGATGAGATGAAGTATTGAATGATTGAATGATTGGTTATTAACAGAATCGATATTGTTGTTATTATTGAAAGTTTTTGCAGAGAAAAATATTACTTATATTTGAAAAAATTCAAAATTCAAAATACGTGAACTTCATTTCTCGTAAAATGTGACCCAATCAAACTTAATTATTCTTTTAATTTATCCTATTTAATTTATCCAAAACTAATTTATATTCTTTATTAATAACATATTTATATTATATTATATTTTACGAAATAAATTATGATTTCGTTCATTTCCAGATTTAAATTTTGAAATCTTGTTTAAAAACAAGATTTATTAAAAAAAAAGAAATTTTTAAAAAAAAAAAGAAAAAATAAAATTTTTCGAATTCTTCTAGTTAATTTCTCATTTTAATAATGAATACCAATATTTAACAATATCTGTCATTTGTAATCAATAAATTTGTCAATGTTCAACTAATAATCAACGTATTGTCAATATAATTTCATGGCAGCCGTTAATATTTAAATTAATTTCATTTCATGTTGTTCTCAAATGAGAATGGTGAATAATCAATGAATTAAATAAACTAATTCAAACTTAACTCTTAAACACAATATAAACCTGTACTAAAATTAATTCAGACATATCAAACCTTCAGAACATAATTAACATCGAGTGGTGAAAAATATTTTAGCGTATATCAAAACTAAAATCAAGCGATATTAATTATTCGAAATTTATTTATTCAAATGATCGATTTAAACTTGCGCATCTAATATGTTTGTATTATTTTACACTATTTAAAAACAATTTTTTTTTCTAATATTTCTTATTAATCCTTTATATTAATAAATTTAAATTATTTAGTTCTTCTTTTCATGATATATCACAAATTTTATTTTCTTTGATTATCTGAAGAATTATTTATCAAAATGAATTTATCTCTCAATTAATTTAGATAATCGATGTTTTGTTCTATAAAAAAAAAATTGTTTAAAATTTTATTCTGACAATATATATTTTATTGAAACTATTCTGAATAGTTGTTGAAATTTGTAATAAATAATTTTTGAAATTAACGTTTATTATACTATAAATTTATAATATCTTGAATGATTAAAAAATGTGTGTAATGATTAAAAAACTAAATGATTAAATTTTTATCAAGTCAGTTCAAAAAAAAATGAAATATCATACCTTAATACATATCAAATAATTTCAGTTAAAATAACTTTAAATTTCGATTTGAAGACATTTTTGATTTATAATTTTATAAAAGTTATAGAGATATAATTTATTATATGAATTAATTTAGAATAAACAAATATAATAACGTATATAATAATATTCTCGTTCAAAGAAAAATTTAAATTCTTACTATTAATTTTATATTATTTTGCTTATGAATTTATTTCATTCAGATAAATGCAAGAGGATATTAAAATTGGCGATGCATCATTATTAAAGATAAAAAGAAATATCGAGTAATATTAAAAGTAATTTTACCTTTAATAATTTTCAACGAGTATAATAAATAATATTACCTAGAATTATTAAAGTTATTAAAATTTCTGCATTATTCTTTATACCTATTCGCTGAGAAAAAGAATCAAATAAACATAATTACGCTATTCCAAAGTTTAAGAATGCGTAGTCGAAGGGGAGGGGAAATAAATTACAATGTAAACCGAAAACAAGCACACCGATCTGTTTACTCTCTCGAGTATTTGCTGGAAGAAAATGATTGCAAATACACGAGAGCCACGGGAAGCAACGACATCAAATGATAAACAGGCCGAAAGAAGACCAGCTATGCCGGAGTACTCTTGAAGTTTTCAGTTTCACGGTCGGCTGATAATAGATAGAAGTACCCACAAATCTATTCCCCACGACCTCATAGCTAACATATTGTTACAATCCTCCATCTCCCTGGTGTTCGTTATCGAATAACAATAGACGTTGCCTCGCACATATACCCAACAGAGGTCTAAAGACTCTCGAAGTATATCACTTCGGCGGAAGCACGCGATTCCCAGGTAAAAACTTGCACACGAGATGAACGACAAACGATAAAAATAAAAGAGAAAAATCCGTATTACGAGGTATTGTTAAAATAAAAGGGATGCGCATCGGCGCACGATACAACTCGAAAAGAACGATGAAATGGGTTTCCGCTGTTTCCACCGCGAATCTTCGGATAGTAAGGTGGATATGTGTGAATACAGAGTGTCTCAGAAATCATAGTGCAAGGGGCTGGTGATTCTACGAGTCAAAAGAAAAGGAATAATATTTTTTCGTTTAAATTGAAAAAACTTAAAAAATTATCAAGTGACATTACAGGATGTTCAAAAAATGTTGGAACATACGCAAACTGAAGATTCCTAATTTCAAGTAATATTTTCTTTTACAAAACTTTTGTTATGGCTTTGTTAACGAATTATTAACAAGCTACGATAATAGCATTAGCTATGTATCTTCGACTGAACATGAATAAATTCAATTTCGAAAAAAATATGTTGAATATTATATTTATTTATTGCTCGTGATACAATTCAATTTTTTATCACTAAAAAAATATTA